TTGTCAAAATAACTTCTGAGAAATAGCCCCTTTATGATTTTATTCAAAAGTCATTACAAATATTATAACTTATTTAAAAATTCCACGTTCTAACATTGTCCATTTTAATAAAAAATTTGCAGCAAATTGTTTTATCAATATATTTGTTAATTTTTCATTTATTTATGAATTTTCAATTATTATTATTATTTAATAATAATAATAAAATTTAATATAGAAAATATAGCAATAATTTTATTTGAATATTCTATTTAAAAAAATAAACTTCATAAATAAATTCTAAATGTTAATTTTTAATAATTCTTGTTTGGAGGAAAAATTTCAATAAATTTTATAAACAGGAAAACCTTGTTTAACGTTTACAAAAATACAAGATAAATATGAATTCATTAATGAATGTCACTCTTAAGAACATAAATACTGTACAAACGATTTCTTTTAAATACTCCGACCAATTTCCTTAATAATAAAACGCCTGACTGGTTCCGATTATACTTGTAAATGGTATATATAAAATCCTTATAAACCGTGTATAAAAATTTAAAATCTTTTTTGAATTTTATACTGCTTAATTATCTTGTTTAACAGTTTGTATCGGATGATTTGTAGCATTTGAAGTTTAAACTAGATTCTGTTATAAGAGATTCTTCTTTATATTCAAGTCGTTAACTGAAGAAATCTATTGAAGATATACACTGAAGATTTATACTGAATAAAATACATAAAATAAACGTAAAAATGTTTTAATTTCGTGTATTTTTTTTAAAATTAAAAACATATTCTTTAATGTTGCTTATGATTACTTGTCGAAAGCTTATAACTGATTTTTATCAAAATTCTTTCAAGTTTTAGATTTAAAGATTTGAATTAATTTAATAAAAAAAAATGTTATAAAATTAAATTAAATTNAGCCGTTCACAGCCCGGCACACGTATTTGTAAAATCTAAGAGACTCGTACAACATGGAATTCATATAAAACGGAAAAATCAACAGTGTTATGGGGGGTCGACTGTATAATGTAGATAATATATATCAGAATTTTCTTGTATAGTACTTGTATACAGTGGCGTGTGGGGTTGACTTCAAGCATTCTTCTTCGAGGGAGTTTTTTATATTGGTTTGGTGTTCCTCAATATATAATATGGTTTGGATCTTCAGGCAATTACCCTTTTTGTTCATAGGATAACGTCAACAGTTCATATTTGTATCACTCTTTTGTGAAATTATACTCTTTAGTTATGTGACTTCTTTGATATACTGTACAGTACGGTATGTATTAATGTTCTATATAAAATATAAGAATATAAGATGGAAACTATATAATTTCTCTCAATTAAAACATATTAAATGTATACATAATTTTTAATTGAAATCATCACATTTAGACCTTAATGCATGCTAACAGTTTTCCTTACTAATGCAACTTTACTTTTCCATTTCCAATTTGTAATATATAGAAATGAATAGATAATATTATAAATTGTTACTTTTAATAATAATAATAATTAATTTTGTAAATTAAATTATTTATTAATATAATTACGCAATATGCAACGTCAGTATTTTAATAATTTTATAAATACAATTTTACATGCATTTTTTTTTTAATTATCCACTCGCATAGCATGGCTTTCATATGCGAACGAATTGAAAATCTCTTAAGATTGGTCAAAATTCCAGTTTTTGGCGGATGTAATCTTCGGGTTTCCGGATCGATTAGTTCCCAATTTACAGTGATTCCGAGTTCTATGACTTCTTGGTAAGTCTGTAGAGCAGTTTATTACGTTCCTATTCTTGAAAGTGTCCATTCTTTCAAGTTTCCTACTAAATCCAACTTTAGCGGGTCCATCCATCCGATTTTGTGTAGTATTTTCTGTTTATTTAGTTAACGGATATGAAAGAAAAAAGATATGTGAAGATGATCCAGGGGTCGTCGGTAGAAAGGAGAACTGGGGATTTTTCCCTATGCTCTGATATTAGGGGATATCTCTAGTGATTCTTATACCTTATAATGCTAGTTTTGCTAACAGAAAATGAAATCCTTATGCTAAGTTTTATTAATAAAGAAATATTCTACGTATTTTATTTGGTTAAAAAACTGTAGGCTAGATGGTAAGAAGCAAAAATGAGCTCTATTTGAACCTCGTATAAGCTCTTGATGGTCCTATGAAGATCCATGAAAGAGAATTGCAACAGTATCCAAATAATGAATTTATTATAGAAGTGCACCATAATTATAATTAATCATTAATTTGTATGGAGTTATTTACTTTGTTTCGATTATTATCCATTTAATTTAGTAATGTTTTTATTAATTTAATGATATATAATTTAAGTTATATAAGTATTCTTACATAAGCCATGTANAATATTCACATTTAAAAAATATTGTATTTATTTAATCGTTAATAAATTGAAATTAACAAATTACAACGGAATTATTTAAATTCTGTTGACGTAATCTGTCCTCGTCTGACGACATTTTTTACTCTTGTGTTTTATTTTATTCAAATGTGTTACATTGTAAAGAAAAAAAGTTGATAATGCACCATGCTATATAAAAAGTTACTCCACGTGGGAGTATTGAAATTTTCGAAATGAAGTAGTATGTAGGCCATAATAAGTTGCATAAGATGGGTCGTTTAATATCGTCAGCGAGTGCATCAAAGAAGAGACGACTTTTTTACTTTGGAATTCAGTAAAACCGCTACCTGCAACGATTTTCGGCGACAGATTTATACCAAACAACGTTAGCTCGGCTTTATAATAGAAAATCAATACGAAACCAAGCGTAATAGCTAGCCGCCAACACTTTACAGGCTTGCCAGTACTCGATGGAGGAAATTCTAAGCTTTCTGCTGAACACTCCGACTATCATTGCCCGGAGGCCGATGGTCATATGACGGTTGTCCACGTTTGAGGTACGTACTGCCTACTTGTGAATTGGTGGGAGGTTATCGATTGCAGCACCTATCTGTGAGGTAACGAGCTCGCAGCGACAGATAAGCTGCTGCGCTTTATCCAAACTGCGACTATTGTCTATATTTGATGTTTTCCATTCGAGCTTCCAGTCTGTAAAATCTACTGCAACAATTTCACGCGCCTTTTTTTCGGTATTTTTATATTTATTTTTTCAAATTTTATACGAATAAAAACTGATATTAATTAAAGAATATTTTAAAAAGTTCATTATTCGTAAGATTTTCTTCATTGTAAAGTTTTTTTTTTATTTGGCACATTTTAATATTTAATTCTCGTTAGTTATTACATTGAAAATTTGNTTTTTTATTGATTTCTCTATCGTCTAGAAAGTTAAGCAAATGTGTAATGTTAATTCTGACATTTTTTAATATTATTTTTAAAGTTAAAATGATATCTTTTCTGTACTTTTATTTTGGAAAGTGGACGGAAATCAATAAAACTCAATCGACAGAAAGAAACTTGTTTGGTGCATTTAGGTGGCTGGACAAAGGTGGGGCTTTAGTTGTTACACGTGTTTCTTTCAGATGCTCCTCTTCAGCCGGAACGTTTAGTAAGATCGAATAAGTAGATCTACTCTACTGACAAAAAAATATATATAAGGATTTCTGACTTAATTGAAGATAGAAAATAATTGGTAGACTTACTTATATTGGCCACGTAATTAATCAAATTATTCATCAAAATCTTTCATTTATATTGTTTATTTTTAAAATAAATCGCGTTTTGTAGATGTTTTAATATCGTAATACCCAGTTCTGTTTTATTTTTCTTAATTTAAAAGTATATTTTAGTATCATAAAATAGAGATTAATTACTTTGATAAAATAGTTGATGGGTGTAACAAAGTTATTGTTTTGAAGAGTTTAAGATTGAATGTATTTGGTACAGGAAGAAAAAAAATTATAGAATTAATAATTTTTTATAACATATTTTTTATTTTTTATTTTTTACTTTTTTTCTATTATGAACTTTATTACAAAAAGTTTTCCCATAAAAGACTGAAAGTGTTATTTCCATCCTAAATTGTTATTTTACTACACACAAAATATCAAATAGATATCCACCATCAAAGTACTGAAGTAGGACAGTAATATAAGATATTTTTTTCAAAGGATAATATAGGAACCGTAATTTGAAAAATGTCTTTTCGTTCAAGAATAGAAGCTACTTCCTCGGTCATTCTTGGGGACAAATCTCACTCAATCCATATCATAAACTATGCCATATCTATCAAATTTATGTGATTCTTTTACTATGCTTTCAATTTAATTAAGTACTTGGATTCGGCCATAGTTTTAAAATTTTGTCAGTACGAAGAACATAGAACTGGCTCTGAAAAATGCTCATATTTTGGTATATCAGTTACTCAGATGTTACTAAAATAGCTACTTCTATATATTATATATATACATATCAGTAGGATACTTTGATACATTATAGCGTTTTAATGGGATTCTAGAAGATGAACTGCTTTAAAGGATGCAAATTGCATCATACATAATTCAGTCAGATGGCCAATCGTTTCCTTCGTTGCTCAGCATCTTTACCTTCATTTAATTGCACTTTATCTGAAAACGGTTTTCGTGTCGACATCAGTAGAGTGAAGATATATTAAACTCAACAGAAATTTAAAAAACAGCACCTTAATATCTGAGTATTATTAACTTAAAAAAAAATACATAAAAAACTATAATCCATAACTTCACTTTATATGAAAAATTAATAGATTTATACCTTTAAAAATTGTTTTTAAACCGATAATTCCTTTAAATCTACTAAAATAATTTAGTAAGAAAATTTTTCTTTGAATTAATTTCAAGATAAAATTTAATTTAGTAATAATATTTTACATTTTAATTAAATTATCTTAAATATATGAAGAGTTTTTATAAGAGATTTGAAGAGTAAAAAATTGTAAAATTTTATTATTTATAAAAATTCATTTCTAGACTTGAATTATTATTTTTTTTCTTTTTTGTTTTTATGTCTGACTGATGAGTCACTATCCTAACAACAATTTAACATTTACTTTTATTGTATTTGCATATGTTACTACAAAAGGAAGTGGAATTATTCTACATAAATATTAAATTTTCTTTCGTGATCAGAGAACTTAAACCCGGCTTCTCTCCTTAGGCGATAATTATTAGTCTGTAGTTGCAAACAATTTTTTCTTGTAATTCAATTAAAGTTGAATTTTCGTTGTAAGTCGTTTTCCCTGTAGCTTCTAAGAAATATTAAATTGATATGAAAATTCGAATTTCTTATTAGAACGCGAATAATTGTGTTGATATGAGACGTCGTAATTTAGAATAATAAGAAAACAAATTTGTCGAGAAATAATAATAATACTTTTAGTAAAAATAGTAAATTGATTTTTTTTCCTTTTTTTTAAATAAATAAATAAATAAATAAATAAAATATAAAAGGAGAAATAATTGGGATGATACGCAATTGTTTTTCGAATTTACTAAAATTAAAATTTAACATAGTCTTTTACTTCTTTTATATTTCTAAAATTCCCTGTAGAAATTATAAAATGCGAATGTTTTTTTTAATTAAAATTAAAAAAAATTCCTCAAATAACTATACAAAACGTAACGAAGAAATTAATAATTCATTGGAGAAGATGAAAGATCAAACATGAAACGTTTAACCCCTTCATTAAGGATATATTCCTTTATAAAATTTAGGTATTAATTAATCCTGAAATAATATCGTGTAAATTTATTTTAAAGAAATATTCAAATATTCTAAGATAGAATTTGAATTTATCAGTGAATATATTCAAATAATGATAGAGACAAAGAACTTTAGAAACTTCACAATTGTTACAATGACCCGTACAATCAATGAACTAAAAGATATCCGATACATTTTTCTTATTGAAGGTGTAGATTTCTTATCGTTATTTGAAGACATTTTACGAATCTGAGCTTTCATTTCTTGCTATTCTTTTAGAATATTTTCAATAAATTTACTAAATCTTTCGCATTTTATTTTTCAGTTTTTAAGTTTTCAAACAAATGATGCAGTGGAATGATTAATTGTCTAATGTTTAATTGATAACATTTTCTAATATTTTATGAGAATTTATTGCCAAATTATTACAGAACATTCTGTGTAAAGCTATAGTTAAAATTATTAATAAGAAATTTGAGAATCTTAATTGCAATCTCGGATAGATCAAAAGTGGTAATGTATACAATAATTCATACAAAATAATATTATATTATATAAAACATACGTTTTTAACTTAAATTCATTATATGTAAATCTCATATATAAGTTCTATTGGTGTAATATGATAAATATCATTCAAAAAATAGTTTTTATTTCTTTATATTCAACATGGAGACAAATTAGGATCTCATTGCATAGTCTGGGTATAAGAATCCGGTCGTAAAATAGCATTAAAGCTTGCCTCCATAACCCAAATTCCTTCTAAAAATTTATATGCCACTCCTTAAAACGGCCTGAAGCGGTAGTGCAACCTCCTCATTGACAAATTTTAAAGCTGTTAGGATGGTCGTATGTTGTTGTCTTGTCAAAATAACTTCTGAGAAATAGCCCCTTTATGATTTTATTCAAAAGTCATTACAAATATTATAACTTATTTAAAAATTCCACGTTCTAACATTGTCCATTTTAATAAAAAATTTGCAGCAAATTGTTTTATCAATATATTTGTTAATTTTTCATTTATTTATGAATTTTCAATTATTATTATTATTTAATAATAATAATAAAATTTAATATAGAAAATATAGCAATAATTTTATTTGAATATTCTATTTAAAAAAATAAACTTCATAAATAAATTCTAAATGTTAATTTTTAATAATTCTTGTTTGGAGGAAAAATTTCAATAAATTTTATAAACAGGAAAACCTTGTTTAACGTTTACAAAAATACAAGATAAATGTGAATTCATTAATGAATGTCACTCTTAAGAACATAAATACTATACAAACGATTTCTTTTAAATACTCCGACCAATTTCCTTAATAATAAAACGCCTGACTGGTTCCGATTATACTTGTAAATGGTATATATAAAATCCTTATAAACCGTGTATAAAAATTTAAAATCTTTTTTGAATTTTATACTGCTTAATTATCTTGTTTAACAGTTTGTATCGGATGATTTGTAGCATTTGAAGTTTAAACTAGATTCTGTTATAAGAGATTCTTCTTTATATTCAAGTCGTTAACTGAAGAAATCTATTGAAGATATACACTGAAGATTTATACTGAATAAAATACATAAAATAAACGTAAAAATGTTTTAATTTCGTGTATTTTTTTTAAAATTAAAAACATATTCTTTAATGTTGCTTATGATTACTTGTCGAAAGCTTATAACTGATTTTTATCAAAATTCTTTCAAGTTTTAGATTTAAAGATTTGAATTAATTTAATAAAAAAAAAATGTTATAAAATTAAATTAAATTTTATAAAAGAATATTAATGTTATATTTTAAGGAAAATCTTATTGAAACGATTAATTCGTTCATTTAACATTTTAAGCTCACTTTGTTTTTAAATAAGTAATGATTATTTATTGATGTGTTGGTATCACTTTTTAATGTCTTATAAAGAAATAAAACTTTTGATTAGTTGGTTAATTGAAGCAAAACCATTTTTATAGAAGTTTTATAATGAAAAATATAAAACTAAATAGGCTATCTACAGATTAATTTTATGTTTCCAGTTAAAAGAAAAAGTAAGATATCATAAAGTTTTTCATCACATATTTCTATTTTAATGCTTTCAAAAGCAGTTTTAAAGAAAATTATCTTCGATTCAACTCAATGGAAAGAAAAATGTAGAGAAATGATAGGTGGTGTCTTAACCCATTCCAGTTAATAGACGAAAATAAACGTGTAATGTTGGAAAATATGTCCATAATAATTATACTTTTAATGATTTTCCATTTTATTAATGTCATTTAAAAAGTAAAAGAAAAAAGAAATTGAAAATCTAAAATGTGGTTTTGCTTTACCAAGTGTGACAGAGGATAATGGCGTAGAGTATGAAAGAATCCATCATAGATCAGGTTAGACAAATGGTCATTATCGAGAACGAGAGAGACATTTTAAACAGTTCTCTCCTGTGTTAGATCGCCCTATTATTTCTATATTCTAAATCGGTTTGAGTAATTACAGAAATGCAAATAAGCGGTTGAATATTGCAAACTCGTAAAAGGGGTGAGAGAGAAGAGAGAAAAAAAGGAAAAAATTCGAGTTATAAAATAAAAGAGCGGCTTACCGTCGCCTGTTCAATGACAATTGTCACGTCTCACGTGTGATTTACGTCGACAGTATATATTGTCACCAGTCTTATCTAGAGCCTTCCAGCTCGCTACATTGATTATAGGGTAGACGTGACACCAGACTTTTGAACGAATGAACTGAAAGTGTGGAAGGAAAAAATCGATCTCCTATTTCGTTTCTTTTATTTCATTCTAAAATCCCGTATAATTGCATTTGTTATTGCTTATAGATAATTGCTGTTATCTCTTTCGAATCGGTATTTCAATTTCGTTTTATTGAATAGGCCCCATTCATCAGTTTTACGAAGAATTCACAAATTTACAATACGACTTTAAAATCTAACGAAAAAAAGACATTAAAAAATTATTTCTAATTAAATTTTTGAACTATAAACACTTATATAGATATAAAGACAATAAAATCAAAATTTAACGAGTATTTTATATAATATAAAACCTATTTTTGTACAAAGAACATTAATCATTTCTTGTATAGAATAGTGAATTTCAAAATATTACTCATTCTTGGCATCTTCTATCTATATTCTATCATTTCTTGAGGAATGTTTGGCAATTCCGAATAAGTTCTTTAAAATAGAAAAGTTTTCTTTAGTTTATGCCTCATCTTTTATTTTCAATTCTCTTTCTTTACAACGACACATGATGAATATATTCCATGTTTTTCTTTTCTATAACAAGTGATATATAACAATAAAATAAAGTTAATCTTTTATGTGTACAGTGAAACTTACAAAGGGTTTCGGTGTTTAATAAACAAACCGAGGATGTATTTAGTTTTGATAAACATGACTCTAATTATTCTTTATTCTTACGTTCACAAAACAATGCCAATAGGAAAGTATCGCCTCTCTCATTAACGAAACAATAGAACGAACAATACCTCCAATAAAATCATTATTGTTTGTACGTAAAATAATAATCACTTTCATATACAGTATAAAAACTGTATTTCTATAAAGTTTTTCTAAGAAATATTGCATTTAAAAACATTTTTACTATTAAATTGTTGTGCTTTTTAACCTATTCTTTGTAATAAAATTATACAGTTTGCTAAATATTGTAATGCTTTAATAGAAAATAAAAATATAACAAACTGATTAACATCCCCCGTACATAAAGTCTATATTTTTTTTTGTGTGTGTGGCTTCGTTACGTTCAGGAAGCCACATACACCCACCCACATACACACACAAGGAAGTGACTTATAAGAAAACAATAATAAATACAAATTGCTTAATAGAATCGCGATATTTTTCAATATTGCACACCCCGAATTTAAAATATTTTATCAACTAAATTTTCGAATTCTTACCTTTAGGGGTTAACATTATTTAACCTATATAAAATTCATGTATATTGATAACAGATTCCATTATAAATTTCATTTATGTATTGTTTTTAGTAAGTTCTTATTGTAAATGATTAGCTATAACACGAAGAAAATTCCATTTATTACATAATAAAAATTCAATACTCGTATTGTTCGTGACGTGAGTATGTTATCTTATTTTCAGGAAAACATTTTATAATATTACAAACGAAAAATAAAAATGCCAAGCAATGATTATCCTACATATAATTATAAAGATGATAGAGAAATATTTTGCATATAACGTAAGGAATTATATTGATTTTAATCAATCGTAGAAAAGTTAAAAACTTTAAGAAACATTTTCATTAAAATAATTAAAAATTAGAGAGAAATAATACTTACATTTATCCGAATTTAGCGAGTTATAATTTGCATTTTTGAATTAAAATATCATCATTGTTAATAGCATTTCCATGTAAATCTATAACAAACCCATTTCTTCTTTTACCTATCGAGTTGAAAGTTCCCATTTATAATCAGTATTCTTTCAGTAGTTCAGCAAGTTTTGCAACGATAAGGGGGCTAAGTAACTCAGAAGTTAGAATGTTAAGTATCAAAGATCGGCGAACAAATTTCAAGCGAACATTCGATAAGAACTTGCAACAACTGCAGCTCTAACGATCTGCATTCAAATCGCTAATATTATGGTTAGAAATCATGAAAGATTACATCAGCTGAAAATGCAAAAAAAGAAGAAAACTTTCAAAATATTTCTACCTTAAAATAAAGATTCTTACGTTATGAATATAGATTTACCTACCGAACGATGGCTTTAAAAACTTTAAATAATTTATAATTTGTCTTCTTCTCTACTGAAATTTATGTTTAAACTTTTGTCACATTTCTTTCTTTACTCGTGGTATACGTTTTTAAAATATAGTATAACCTCCGAATAGCGGACATCATCGGCACCGAGTAATTTGTCCGCTATTTAGAGGTAAGTATAAAGGATATATATCCAGTGTGAGGATTGTAAAACTGTTCATTAAATAGAGGTTATGTCCGTTAATGGAGGTTTATGAATTATAATAACGAGTATTGTGATTAATATTTTAAATCTTTTCAACTTTAATAATTAAATTTTTATTAATTATTAGTAAATTTTTATGTGAAGAATAGGAGATTAAAGCCATAACTTAGGAAAATAGCTTCTTTTTTTGTGTGTGTGTGTGTGTGTGTGTGTAATCTGGGATACTTTGAAAAGGCTTGTTGCTATGGCATTGTTTAGTATCTATTAATCGTTGAATAACTACAATTTTGATGAATCACTTGTTTAACAAGTAAAGTTAGAGGATTGCGTGGCCGAATGGAGATCAGTTGCTGACTTATGGTCGTAATCCAGAACAGTATTGATTGGAATATGCTGTAAAACTGTCGTAAATAACCCGTTTCTTTACTGTCGAGCGTATATTTAGAAGGTAATTTAGTAATATATTTCGATTTTAAATCATGATTAACGCTCTTTGTTATTCTTTGTTAAGGATCATTTTCATTAAATCCATTCGGCGCTAATCTAATTAAGTGCAAGAATATTCTTAATAATGTAGTTTTGTGTATAACTAATCGAGTTTTATTATATAAAATAAGAATATATTGTTGTAAATCATAAAAATTCAGTGCGATTTTAAAGAAATTTAATACGTTCAATTTTAGCTTAGATGATATTATGAACCGTAGCAAAAACTTTTATTTCCTCGTAATATAGAAAGATCTTGAAATTTATTATTACATTTCTCTTAAAATAAGTTGTTTAAATGTAATATAAAAAGTCTAATTTGCTACCATTTTATGAGGGAACAGAATGTCTTCTTCGTAACATTCACTATCTAAACCCATAATACGATTTTTATGCAACGCATAAAAAGCTTATAGAATACAATTTTCATCATATTTTTTTTAAAATTTTCTTCTTTTTTTTAAATACACACAACATACGACTTAACTAAAAATTATTATTACTACTCGTTTCTTTTCTTACATAATGGAAGTTGGCGCCATATTGACTAACCATTGACCTTTAAAGTACTTGCACTCTTTGATTATATTTGAGTAAAAGGTTAATGGTTTGCCCTTTCAATAAAGAAGGGAGATTTGATTGCTTCTGTGTATTGTTATCTGTCAATAGTTGAAGATGGGTCTTAAAATTCATTTTTAAAGTCACGAATTCTCAATTTTCTATTGTTCTAAAGTAGGTTATTTCGTTCTTTGATAAGAATAGATTCGATTTTCAGTTCGTATAAGTTATTAGAATTCTTTATTTATCGACTTATTTGAATGAATTCTCCATGTTTACGTATGTTTAATCATTTCATTCATTCAGTTATTTTTATAAATTTATATGATCTCTGCATAGGGATGTGCACCATAAGATATAAATCTTATGTTTTATATACATATAAGACATATTTTTTGACAAATATACGTAAATTCTATTCATTTTTTAAGATTATATCGATTTATATTTTCCAATAATTCTTAAATACTGGCTGTATTATCTCTGTTTTAATATAATCAGAATGTTAGAATGCATAAGTATTGATTATACAGTTTATTAAAATTATTGATTACCATAAGTTACCTTTACATTTTTTGTCTAGATCTACATTCACCTACTGAATGTAAATCGGTAGGAAAATGCTAAATAGAACTAAATAAGGAGCTAAATAATACTTTATATAAATTGTTACAATCGAAGATATTTAAATATATAAATATTACAAGTATATAAATCTATATTTAATATAATTTATTAGATAANATTATTTTTTTAATAATAATATAATTAATAATCACTGGAAAAAAAATTCCATCTTTATCTGAAACTTCATTTAAAAGGACTCGCACAATAACAATTACCATTTATTCTAATTCACAGAAGCGTATTCAAGATTGTTTTTCAGGATAATTTGACCTTAGAATTTCTGAAAATTAACATTCTTTAGTTTTCTTATCTGTTTTGAAAACAGTGAAGTCAGTGAACAAGGCACAGAGAACAGGAAATACAACGAAGGAAGTCAAGAAATGACTTCTTATCCGAGAACCTTTCTACTGATGTAACATATAAAGACAAGTCATATGAACGACAAAAGAATCATTTTTAAACTTAAGTGTTCGTTACAGTGATGTATTATTTGACAAGGAAAGAAAAGATTTTTAACTTAAAGTATCCATTTCGTTACAAAACATCGTATACAATCAGACTTACAATCTTTAACAACGCGTAGCATAGGTCTATGGCAAAGAATGGTAAGTTATAATGATGCTCGACTCTTTTAACGTTCATTTTAGATGTTTGCTTTCATTAATTTATACAGAAATAATTAGAAATTACACTCGTTAAAATATTGTTTTTTTTTTCGGTTAAATTTAGGACGATTTCAGGAAAATTATGTTATACAGTAAGTCGACCCCCCTATAACACTGTTAATTATTCTGTTTTATATGAATTCCATGTTGTATGAGTCACTTAGATTTTACAAAAACGTGTACCAGGTTGTGAATGGCTCACATATTTGTAAAATCTAAGTGATTCATACAACATGGAATTCATATAAAACGGAATAATTAACAGTGTTATAGGGGGTTCGACTGGTATATACAAACCTCTAAACAGGACCACTGAGCGGAACATAATAGGTCGAAGTGTAAGTTGTAGACAGTTTTTACATTAATTCTATTTAAATATTCGAAATAAAATAAGAAAGAATATTTAAAAATGATCAATATTCAGATACTTAGAATTCATTTCCAATTATCTGATGCTAATTTTTGAATCGATAATGATTATAAATTTTCCGAGAAACTTTACTTCTAACCGTTCTCCATTAGATTAAGAACGAAACTAAATGTTATCTGGTTGATTCTATAACATGATTGTATTTTAACCGAATCATCACACCATATAATCGAGATGTAATTGATCTGAAATGGCAATTTACACGGTTAAGAAGTGTAAATTTAAATTATTATTCATCACTTTGAATATACAAATAACATTATTGTCTATGATATAAAATATTTTTTTATAATAATTAGAAAAGAAATTATTTATTTGACTTATTTTCTGTTTAAATTANCAGTTGTTGCACTTTTTTATAATATTATTTACATTAATTATTAACGTCGAAATCATTTATTAATCAGCTCTTTTTTAAATTTATATGAGCCTTAATCGTTAAGAATTCGAGTTCGACTCATGGAAAAAATTGAGATCTAATCTCTACTTGATCAATCCTTCGGGTGTAACTAACCAAATTGTGATAATGGTAAAGACAATCAAGAAATACAATCCATTCGAGTGCCATTCTAAATTCATTCTTTAAACGATAATTATGGATAAGATGGAATGAGTACAGTTTGATGAATATATCTAGAAATAAAATCGTGTAATTACACTTTTTAAATTGTATTCAGTTAACTATTTCTTTCTATACGAAGCTCTAGATTAATCATTTAAAGATTGAAAATATAGGAAGAGCTCTTATAACTAAGCTTTTTTTTTGTAATTACTTGTATTGTGTATTCATTTAATCTCTATAACCTTTTATAAATCGTTAATATGAAAACTTCTCGAAAGAGTTAGACTTCTGAATAGTAGAAGGACTTCAAAATAAAGACTTTATTTTTTAAAATAAATTTTTTAAAAAGTATTTCCAATAGAATTAATTTTGCTGATAAAAAAATATTACAAGTTGGATGTAGCTTTTGAAAACTGTTCAGTTCCTTTCTAAGGCGTTTTAGGCTAAGAATAATTATCTGCTGCAGAGCTACACCCAGTAGCAAAAAGTACAGTATATATATCCATAGAAAAGTATAGTACTGTATATATTCATATAAAAACACAAATGAATATTAACTTCAATTACAATGATAGAAGTTGGCTTTAGAATGTATTGAGATCAAAAAATATAATTCATATTGTTCTAATAAACAATTTAAAAAAATAGATTTATTACAAAATTTTGAACTTGTAATTTTTTTTTACGGAAATACGAAAAAAAGGATCAGATTTTTATCAATATATCGAATTACAGTAACATTTTCAACGTTGTCAACAAACATATTTAACAGTCTAAATGCAA